AATCATAAAGGGCCTTCGCTGTGGGTAACATTGAGGTTAAATATTCTAAACTCTAATAACCTGCAATGGAAGCAGAGTAGGGGTGCAAAGCTTTATGTATAGTGATATAACTTTCTAATGATATGATTAATAAATACTCTTTTACTACTTTGAATTCTTTTAGCTTATAATCAGGCTTTGAAAGCCTTCAACACAATTTGAAGACTCTGATCTGCGTTTTTCTTTTCTTTTTTTGCTTTACTGACCAGACTTAGTATTGCAAGAACACTTATGTACAACACATGCTGTGACATTGCTAATATATCAGGAAAAATCCAGAAAGTTGGTGTTTCCTAGTGTTTTATTTCATAAATACTTTGTTGTCTGTGTAGTGCTTCCTAACGTTTTCTTTTTGCACGTCTACCTGCCTCCATGATACCACCTGTTGGATCAGACATCACAGCACTGCAGCACTTCCTTCCTTGTGAACTGATGAAGTAGCACTGGTCCTTTGTAGTTGGTTAGCCTGCCTACACACTGAGCCTTTCTTGTCCCTGAACAGACCCTGACAGGTGATGTAGAGAGCCAAGAGTTACGCTTGTTTCCCACTATTACTTCAAGCCGTCACCTCACACTGTCCCTGATCCTTTCCCTTTTTGTACTTATTGTGTTTATATGCTTCATTTTTGCTCTTTTGTCGACGTTTGTTAACAGCGTCTTTACTTTGTGGTCAGTCGACACATATACCCGAAGCATCTGACACTAGAGCACACACACGCACACAAAGACACACACAGGTGTTGGATTAAATAAATCAGAATTCCGAATCAAGAATATAAGAAATTATTCTCGTTGGCAGTGTGTCTGATATTTTCTTAAACAAACATGTAAACAGACAAATTACGTGTACAGTGTATATAATTTGTTGCCAAAATACTTCCAATTGCACATACTGGTGAGCCTGCAGCAGAAGACTGCACACTTACCACTGGTTCATGTCATGTAGGCTTCAGTAGGTACGAGGACGTTTATGAGATTCCTCTCTGGGAGGATCAGCCAGCATCACCTTCATCTTTACCCCGTTAACGACGCGTCCGTGGAGCGCCGCCATGGCCTCGTCCGCACACTGACACAGAGATGAAGAAGAGTTTGAAGTTTACTTACATTCTACTCCTTCATTAATAAAACCCACAAGTTTATCCTCAATCTGAGCTTTACCTGTTTATCTGCATACTTCATGTATCCAACTTTCCTCCCTGGAACCAAGTGGACTTCAATGAGGGAGCCAAAGCGACTAGAGAGACAGACACGGGGAGGCACAGACGAACAAATAACATTTAATTGTAAAGCAGGAACATTTTCTAATTCTGTCTGTTTGGTTTAATAGCAGCTTTACTCTGTTATTTAAGAGCACTTAGCCTGATGTTATCATCCACAGCAGTTTGCACTGATTGAGCCAAGAGTCGTAATCAAGCAGACCTTTAACCGTCCCGGTAATGCACTGGGTTTTTTTTACTTTTAGTGATTGAGTCAGACCACTTACCAAAAAACATCCTCCAACACATCGGTGGGCAGCGGGGAGGGGCTGAACACGACAAACAGCCGCTCCTTGGTTTTGCTCTCAGGCGGAGCGAGCTTCTTCAGCGACGGCAGGTTGGCGTCGGTCTGAATTCGAGAAACTGACGAGACAACAGAGA